CCACCCCCCTGCCCCATGTTCCTGGCCTCAGCTGCGGCTCTGTCCACTTGGGGCGGTGAAGATGACAACAGGATTCCCACAGAGGCACCGACCTGCAGTAAAGGAAGCAGAGCAGCAGGGGCAGCCTGAGCCCTTGGCATATGTCCAGGCGCCATGCTGACCTCCTGAGTGATCTTGTGCAAGGCCCCGCCCCTCTCTGGCCTTGAGTCTGCAGCTGGGCTGGATAATCCCTGGGGTCCCTCCCTGTCAGGTGGCTGTGTTCTTTCACAGCGGCCTTCAGGAGTCAACAGCCTCAGGAAGTGATGTCAGGGTGAGGAGGTGGGAAGGTGGGGAGGGGACAGGGAGGTCCAGAGAGTAAGAGGAGATATTTTGAGAGCAGGCAGGTCTCCCCTGTCACTGCTGGACAATGGTCTGGGGCCGGGAGTGGAAAATCTTGCTCTTACTTTAGCTGAAAATAGCACGACGCAGCAGGGTGAGAAACCTCACCCACCAGGGTGGCCTGGGCACTGAGCAGCAGGCCAGATATCCACATGGAGGGGCCAGGCAGTTCAACTGGGGTCCTGAGGTGGGATCCTGGGCCTGTCCCTGATTCCCTTAAGAGTCTCCTTTCCCCACCCCCACCAGCCAGTGCCTGCCACAAGATTAGTGAGTCAGCCACCCCCTGTCCCCTAGGGCCTGTGTCCTTAGAAATATGCAGGCAGCTAGGTGAAGGAAGGCTTCATGGGGCTAGGCCATAGTGTTGTCTCCACGCCCTGGGTTTTTGGGGTCTCCAGATATGAAAAGAATGGGGTCTAGGGGAACTTGGGCCTGTGGTGGCCACAGCTCCACCTCCAACCACTGATGTACTCTCAAGAGTCCCTAAATTCATGATGTATAACCCCTGCCTCTGGGTCTAAGAAGGGCTGAGGGAGTTAGAACCCAGCATTTATACTCCTTCCTAGCCAGCATAGCATGGGATGGGTTTTAGTCTGGACAGCAGCTAGTAAGAAAGAGACAGACTCCAGCCTACAGGAAAAGCTCAAGGACAGCCTGAAAGAGGTAGTCATGAAAAAAGTTTTCGGGACTCAAGTTACATTAACAGAAGTATAAGACATAGGATGTGGGAGGTAAGCATTTAACTCTATTTTGGGCAGGTCACCCACATTGTGCCATGCAGAGTAATCATTTGGGTCATGGCTGTGATGGGTCCCTGTGTCCTGAAGGAGCTGTGGAGCTAGGCTCTAAACAGAGCAACTCCTGGGGGTGCCCCATTTTGCAAAGGTGGAGTGGGAAGTGTGGAGAAGTCATAGAAGGCAGGGAAAGTGGGGTGAGGAAAGAACCTTATCTCAGGTAGAGTGGGCTCACAGGGCAAGGCTCCCCCAGTGGGAGAGGGAGTGGGTCCTTATCCTTGAGGTTGAGAGTGAGGCCTGTCAGCTTTGCCCTATCTCTACCCAAAGGCTAGCGGTCCCTGTCCAGCTGCAATCCACAAATTTCCAGAGTGGTCCTGGCTGGACCCGGACCTGTCACAGGTGAGACCCATCTCCCCCACACTAAGCCCTGACCCAATGTGAACACCCACGATTATGCCATGTAGCTGGATTTTTCCCGAAGGCAGAGGACTGGATAGGAGAGGAGTAAGTCTCTGCCACACTTCTCAGTGCAAAGGGAACCTCATGATCAGGGCAAAGAGGCAGTCCTGACTTGGCCTCCGTGACCCAGCCCGCACCTCATTCCTGCTTTGAGCCTGGACACCAGCTGCCCAGCTTGCTTCCAGTTCCAGCACACCTTGTTTTCCTGCCCCCATGTCTTTGCCCAGGATGAATCCTGCACTTGGATGTTCTCTGATGAACTGCTTTCCCCAGAAGCTGTAGCTTGGGAGTCCCTCTACTCCGGGGAGCCTTCCCTGACTCCCTGGTCCACAGCCCCAACCATTCAAAATTATCCAGTGATGTGCTGGAGCAACTTGTACTGTTTGTAAGAGCCAATGTTATATTTTCAGGACTTTAGCAGAGACATCATATTGGTAGTCTGAAATTGGTCATGGTAGGAGTGTTCACACCACGGCAATTGGCAATGCCACAAATAAGGTGTTCCCCTCACCTTCCTGGAGGGCCAGTTAAATGGTTCAATATTTACCAGAACATGACTAGTCATTGCCATTAAGTCCTAGACTGGGACCCCACCTGACTCATCTCTGTGCCCACCAGAGCGAGGTACAAAAGCCAGTTAGCTTTAAAGTGGGGAATGACCTGGGATGTGGAGAGAAGACTGCTGCTGAGGCAGATAGTGGGAAGGCGGGTGGCAGACAAGAACGTATTGAAGAAAGAAACCTAGTGTGCTTGGTGAGAGCTTCTCAGGCCGCATCTCCATCCTCCAACCACACAACAGGGCACAGGTCAGCAAACAACACTTTTAGTATAAGTTACAACCTCAAATTGGCTCCCAGTCCATGGGAGCCTCCAGAGGGGTTTATGAATCAGTTTCCAGATGTTCGTCTCTTGGGCTGGGGGTTCTCTTCATTGCTTAGTCCACTGTGGCACCCAGACCTGCCCAAGACCCACTGCGGGAAGCTCTGGCTCAGCTTCGGCTGCTTACCAGGGTCCTCCAGACAACCTGTGACCCCACCCCTCCCAAGTAGCTCAGGCCCAGACTCTTCTGTGTGACCTTGGTAAGTCACTTTCCTCTCTGGGCCTGTTTCTCCATTTGACTTGGTTCAGCTGGCCTCTGGCCTAGGTACCTTGGCAGGTACAGCCAGCTATTAATGTGGGTGAGTCAGGCCGGCAGAAGCACTGGCCCTGAACCCTTGCCATTCTTGAAACCTATTCCCCAGCTGACACATAGAAATGGTGATGGGGCTGTGGGGACTGTTGAGCTCTCTGGACCACAGAGAGTGTCCTGAGCCCCTGCCAAAAAACAGAGTGTTGGGATCATGGCTCCCTTGACCATCAGCATGAGTCATGATGATCCGTATCTGGGGAGACCGTCTCATTTGAACAAGTCATAGTCCCTACAGTTTTCCCCATGTAAGGCTGGAGGGGCTTAGGTCTTATAGCCTGATGTCCTTAGTGTTCCCACCCCCAGGCAGCGTGGACTCCGTCTGCCTGTAGGTCTCACTGCTGGCCGACCTGTCTTCTGTCTTGGTGTCAGTTCTGTGAAACTTGCGCAGGTCCAGCCTGCGGCCAGCCCGGGCCGTAGGCGTGGCATTTGTGGGTGGCTTGGAGTCCCGAGCAAAGCGCACGAGCCTCTGCCCAGCGAGGAAGTAGAGCACGGGGTCCAGGCAACTATTGGCGCTGGCCAGGGGCCGGGTGATCTTGTAAGCCATGTTGATGGCGTTGAGCGTGTGGCAGCTGAGGTCCAGCGAGCGGAAGGAGTAGTAGAGGGTGCGGGTGACGTGGAAGGGCAGGAAGCAGAGGGCGAAGACGGCCAGCACCACGGCGATGGTGCGCACCGACTTGCGCTTGGCCCGCGGCAGGCCGCCCGCCGTCCCGTAGGCTGGCTTTAGCAGCCGCCGGGCCATGAGCACGTAGCAGACCAGGATGGTGGCGAAGGGCACCGCGAAGAGCAGGCCCAGCATGACCGAGATGTAGACCAAGAAGTGGTTGAAGAGATTAGGGGCCGAGGTGTCGTGGCAGGTAATGCGGTTACCGCGGGTGCTCGTGGTGACGAAATAGAGCACCGGAGCCTGGCAGGCCAGCACCAGCGCCCACACGCCGGCCGCCACCCGGCGCGCGTAGCGGGCG